GGGAGCCCGGGGCACGGCAGCTGGGGTGCATGCTGGGGAAGAAAGAGCCATGTTGGGGGGGAAAACGGAGTAAATTTGGGAGATGGAGGGAATTTAGGATGGGGTAGGGAAGGGCAGGGAGTACACAGGACACAGTCCCTCATGCACATCCCAGCTCTAAAGAGGCTGCAAGAGCCTCTCATGTTGCTGTGCTGAATGGGCTGTGGTTCAGGGTGGGTTGGCTGGGGACCTCGAGGGGGTCCAGCCGCCTCTGCCATGGGGATGCCATCTGCACCATCTGTGGACAGGGCTGTGGCATCCCACATGCTACTGCCACAGTGCTGAATCCTGGCATCACCAGTGCTTTGCCTCTGCCCAGTGCCCCATGTTCCTGTGCTCCCCTGCCAACCATGACCACCACCAGCTCTCACCTGGCTTTGGTTCCACCAACGGTGACAGATGGTTCCCTACCAATTATTGTTAGTGTAAACAAGCGGGTGGGAAGAGCGCATGCTGCCCACTGATTTGGGATTTGACTGCCAGCAGGCTCCCACTCCCAGGGTGGAAAATAGGTGAACACAAACCAGGGTCTGCAACATGCCCAGCAGGACCCCAAACCATCTTGCACCATCCTCACATCTGGTGGCTCTCTGTGCAGGGTGGGTACCTCCCTTCCACCACCACCACCCACACAGAAGCTGAGGCCTGGCCTCCCCCCATGCAGTGGCAGGGTGGGCAGAGCAGGCAGGGCTTGTCCTTGCCCCAGTGCCTGGGCTGAGCATGTTTCAGGACCACCATGGGAAATACCAAGCAGGTCCTAAAGCGGTGGCTAGCACAGCTTGGCATGTGACAGAGAGAAGTTCCCATGGTGCGTACACAATGCTGAGGGCTGACACCTGATGGGTGTGGATTTCTAAACCTCTGGAGAAGCTGTCATGTTAATTTATAAACTCTGGAGGATTCCTGAACATCAGTAATCTGCTATGATAACTCCTCAGCAACCACAAAATGCCTCCAGCTTGGCTGATCCAGCACCAGCGCTGACAGGGCTGTGACCACACCAGCCATAGGCATGCAGTGCCCTGGGGGAAATTTACCTTTTCCCCCTCTATTCCCCATGCACCCACCCCAGCCCTCCCAGCACTGTTAGGCTAATGCCAGAGCAGCCCCAGCCCCACACGCAGCTCACCCGAGAAACCCCATCTCATTAAGGGCAGCACAGCACCCACATGCAACAGGAACTCACGGGCTTCGCGTGAGCCCCTGCTGCTGGCTGGATTATACATCGACCTCCTCAAACTGGGGAGCTGCTGTCAAGAAACCCAATCGGGAGAGAGGCAATGCTTTTAAAAAATTATGAAGGCTTTAAAGTTTATTTGTTCTAATTACCCAACTGACAGCTCAGGGTAGGAGGAGAAAATCATTGGGGTATTACTGCCACAAAATGGTTGTAATTGAATCATTCCAGACAATAAAGCAGAGGCGCAGGTCACAGGCAGCACATGGGTCCCCCTGCACCAGCCCCCCAACACCCCTCACTGCAGCACCGCAGTAAAAACACACTGATATGAGGAGATACGGCTCTAATAGTGGCCTGTTACGGCTAATGAAAACATGAGGGTGTGATCTGCACCTGCCACCCCCGCGCAGAGCAGGAACCGCGGAGCAGGCTGGCGGATAATGAGTTTACACGCTGCAGTTTGATTCCCTGCGATGTGCGAAGCCCTTTCCTGGACGCAGCCCGGGCCCCATTTCCGCAGGCAGCTGGGCTTGATGCAGCCCCCATGTTTGGCATTTACACCCCTGCTCATGGCCAGGGCTGTAGCCCACTGCCTGGCTGGGCGAGACCACCTTCCCTGCTGCCCACATGGTGCTTTACCAAGCTCCTGCTGCCCTCCCATCACGCACCCCCCCCGCCATCCCCCCAAAGCAGCACAGGCAGGGTTGGGTTTGGGAACAGACATCCGCAGCCAGAGCGCGATTCATTAGCACTCGACACAGACCATTAAACCCTTTGCCGCGTGGGCTTGTCTGCTGGGAGCCAGCGGAGGCTGCGCCTGCCTGGCGGGAAGTGAACTGCCCAGTCCAGCTCTGCCAAGCCCTTAATCTGGATCAGCGATGCTGGGCAGGCCCACGAGGGTGATGGCTGTGCCACCAGCAAGGGCTGCTGCCCTCCACCGCTCCTTGTCTGCCAGCGACGTGGTAGGAAAACACAATGCAAGAAGCTGAGTGTGGGAAAGCTACTGCATCGCTCCCGTTTGAAGAGCAGCACCCGCTGCTTTGCCTTCGCGGGCAGCAGGCACCCAAGCTGCCCCCACCGCTTCGGTCCCCTCGCACCAGGATGGGACAGGCTCAGCTACACTCACAGAAATCCAGTTTAAGACATTTTTATTCCTCTGCATGTTACACTTAGTGTTTAAGAAAATACAGGATCCCTTTTGACATTCATACATTTTTACAGGGGAAAAAATAGGTTTCTCTACAAGGGTGGTTATTAAGCTTGGGCATTCCCAGGCTGACTTCAGGAGGTCCTTGCCTCCTTGGCTGCCAGGCCAACCCCCTCTGTTCCTGAGCATCACTGCCCCACTGCCCAGAGTCCAGCCAGCAGAGCAGAGCTCTTGTCATCACGTCAAGCTAAAAAAAAACCCCAAAACCAAAAAAACCAAACCCACAGTGCCCTGTATTTCCAGTTCCACTTTCCAATAGCTCCTACACTGGATACTGCAGAGGAAGAGCTAGGGACAGGGAGTGACCAGACTGCGCACATGAATATGTAACAAACCCATGTTAGTGTGTGTGACTATCTGTAACTGGGAAACGGGTTAATCCTGTTTGCTAGAAACCTAGAGGAAATATAAATAAGGGTTCCCCACACTCGTGCATAGTCACAAACAGCTACTGGACACCAGGCTCACGCTGCCTCTGAGCGCTGCCACGTGGAGAGGGAGGGCAGCGAGGCAGAGCTACTATGAAGCTCAAGGCAAGAAATCCACACGCTTCACGAACAGAGCGCACCTGCCCACGCACAGCCCCTCTGCTCAGGGCCCTGGGGACACGCTGCAGGAGAGGTGGCAAGCGGCAGCTTTCACTTGGCAGGTCACGTCTTCACGCTGTGTCCGGGCCAAAGGCTTGCTAAGGGCAGCGTCACCCACGTGGTTGTTACTTCGAGGCTGCCACAGTGTGCAAGAAATTCAGATTTAAACGTCACTATAGAAAGCGGATTGAAAAAAGCAGCTGTTGGGATAAGACCTCTGCGACCCTAGGGGGGCTGCTACCCAGAGGCAAAGCTGAGGGCCAGGAGGGAGTGAAAAGCTCACTAGACGAGGCGTTAGACAGCGAGCGAGCTACCTCCCCTTGGCAGGGCTGCAGCACATTGGCACTAGCAGCAGAAAACAAAACAGATGTTACGAAAGCTTCTTCCAAGCACCAGCGGACTCCACTTGGTCACTGCAGGGAGAGAGATGCACATGGAAAAGAAGTGATACTCTAAGGCAAAGGCCTTTCTCTTCAGGACCTCGGGACACCAGTGCAGCTAAACACCCCCCACACCCCTGCTGCTAAGTCCCCCACAAGCTCTCTGCCCTTCCCACTAACACCCACTGCTTAAATACCTCCTGCCCGAGTCTTGCAGGCAAACCACACGCCAGCACCCACCCCGCTCCAACTGCACCCCCTGCCCTTCCTGCTGCTGGCGTTTCTAAAGGGCCAGTGAACACTGTTCCAACCTTAGGCCTCGCAGGGAGGGATATAAGGTATGAGCTGTACTGGAAGGGAATGGGGAGAAAGTGTCAACAATAGACATCGTCGATCCAAGTGGTTCAAACTCCAGTCCAAGCCGAGGGGTGGTTAGCTGGTACCAGGAGAGATTTCTGGGAACTCCTTATAAATCTCCAGGATGATCAGTTTGTCCATCTGGCACTGCTGGCTCTCCTCCTCCTCCCCCAGGATGCGCTGCAAGATGCCCTGCAGGTCAGAGAGGCGGTGCTGGTGCTGCAGATAGGGCGTGGAGCGGATGATGGCATGCATCAGAGAGAGATACTCCATCCTCAGCTGCCAAGTGGGAGGGGAGACAAAACACAGAGCACAATGAAAGATTTAAAGTGAGATAAACAAGCATGCCAGCCTCCATTACAGCATGAGCACGGGAACAGCTGCTGCTGCACCAGCCAGAGCGTGACTCCAGAGGCACCTGCTTTTCCTTCAGGCTCATTAGTAGCTGTGGAAAACTCTGCTTTTCCCAGAGAAACCTAGTGCTGCTCTTCACCCACTCTCAAACATGCACACGTCTCCTGCCTCTTGCAAGACCAAAACAGAGAGATCCCTCCAACTTCTACTACTCAAGAGAGGGTCCCTGTTCCCAACGGTCCCTGGACAGAAGGGTGCAGACCACCAGAAGCCTGGTAGATCTTTCTTCAAACACACCTTCCTACTGCTGTGTGCCGAGCAGGATAAATCCCCCCTCCATCCTCAACTCCCAAGGTTCATATGAGCACCTAGAAATGTCATGCCTGCCCCAAGACTCCACTCTTGCCTGCACCAGCAAGTGTAGGGGGACCAGGCTAGTACTGTCCTGGAAGAAAAGAAACACCTCCAAGTTTAAATGAGCCTACACCAGCAAGAGTGGAGGGCCAGGAGAAACGCAGTTGCTTTGGGACCGGGCTCCCTTCCCCAGTGCCTATGGGTTGCTGTGAGCACCTTGTCTCCTGGGGAGAGATCAGCAATCTGCCGCACCAGGATGTCTATCAGGACCATCATGTCTGTGTGGTAGAAGATGCTGGCCGTATCCTTGCTGGCAAAGATGTCCTGCAGAAACTTCAGCACTGAGTGCGGCGGCTGAGGCTGATGCTTGAAGATACAAACTGGATCATCTGGGGGAGGCAGAGAGACCACGCTAAGCCACACGCTGCCCATTGCCCCACTCCTCCATCCTCAGTGCACAGCCCTTCACCAGACCCCACCGGCTGTGGGGAGGAGGCTGCCCCTGGCCCCGGTCAGCTGTTCTCTGCTGGTGGCTGGCTTGTGTGCCAGCAGACCTTACTGCCTTGCATAAAGCTGCGTAATCAGGATGGCAGCTCTGCAGGGTACCAATCTGAGACCAAACTCATTAGCATTAGCATTAATCATTGTTTATGTTTCACCTACCATCCCAGGTGAGAGCTCATTAGCACATCGACTCTCAGTGTCTCCCCTTTTTGCTCAACAGCTACCACTCATTTTCTCCCTGGTTTGTTAAGTCTGGTTCAATGACCCCTCTGAAAAGCCCATCAGAGCCTGTACCAGAAACAAGCTTTCACCACATGGACCAGGCTAGTACTGCCCTGGAAGCAAGAAAAGAAACACCTCCAAGTTTAAATGAGCCATCACATCCTGTTCTCTTCCAAAACCATGTCCCTGCAGACCCCAAAAGGGGCTCTGGGACACTGCAGGGCCCCCCCAGCAGTTGTCAGGAAGGCAGGCAAAAGAGAAGCATCTTCATTAGGTTGTGGCCCCCTTCTTTCTTCTGCCAGCCCCTCACAGTAAGGCAATCCCTGCAGGGAACCTGGCAGGGAAAGGGCTAAACAAAGGCTTTGGGAGGAGGCCAGGCTAGACGGAAGAGCAACGAGATGCCGGCTGCCCTCAAGCTGATACAGTGTGGAGAGTGATTTGCAACCCCAAAGAGAACTAAAGCCAGAGTAACATGAGTTGCAAGCATCACAGGATGAGTTTGATTTACTAGCAAATCAACAAAATGAATCTCAGGCAGCAAAGCCCCTGTGCTCCAGAAGGTGTTAGAAAGCACAATAGTGGCATTCAGCACAGGCAGAAGTACCTGGCACTGCTCTTCCTGTGGAGATCTCCAGCTTTCCAGCAATCTGCTCTGCAAAAGCTCTACACCTACAGTGATTTCACTCTATGCCTGGAGCAGACACAAAGCTAACCCTCTGCTGGCGATCCTGAAAGGGGAAGTTCCACTCTCAGCCGCATTTTGGAAGGCAAGACCTCCCTCTGGACCTGTCCCCTGGGGCAGATGAACACCAGCACCGGCTGAGGTGTGTGTGCCAGTGCTGATGGAGCCCTGTCTGTCCAAGGACAGAAGTGGCCCAGGACCAACTTTCCTCCCAGACAAGAGCTGGGTCTGATCTGACCCAGAAGTACAAAGGGACCAGTTTGCATGGAAATGCCAACCCAGAGGCCCCTCCTGTCTTCCTAGATGCCACCAGCATCACTTTATTCTTTGTAGAGCTCCATCCTCAGCAATGCAGCCTGTCACCCTCACAAACTCACTAGGAAGCAGCATGCCCTACCTGAGCTGACAGCTCCTCAGCTACCTGCACCCCTGACACATCCCACCCCATAATGAGCACTGGGCTGGTCTCCCTGAGTCACCATTAGCTTCACCCCCTGCCAGGCATGGAACAGCACCGCAAACACTCACCTCCCCTGTTCAGCAGCAGCAGCAGCTTTTCTGTGAAAGTCTTGACATTCGAGTGCTTGCTTATTGTGGTCATGATCACGCTGTGTTCTGGAACTAAGGAAGAAACCTGTTCAGCACATCCCTTTGTTTCCTGAAGACCATGGCAATAAAAAAAAGTAGGAGGGCTCCTACTTTGCATCAGTGCTCTGGGGAGTTTTTGGGAAGCACAGTCTTTCAGGGCTAGGAAAAGTTTCAGCCCCACAGAGTGGGTGGGCAGGGAGAGGGAAGGTGAAATAAATCTGGAAACAACACATGAAACACCGGGAACTTCATGCTTTCTATGTGCATCTGACTCATGTGTGGGCTCCAGTCCAGCCAGCCAAATACTGTGAAATACTTTGCAAAAGCTTTGAAACACCACCTCTGCTCACAACCCTCTGAAGCCAAGGGTTCTGCTCTCCAGTATCTTCAGATTCGTATCAGCAGTGCCCTGCTGGAATTTATTACCTTCTCATAAAAAGTGATGGCCAGGTCCCAAGAGCATGCCAGAAGGGAAAATTCTTCTTCCCAGCTCCCAGCACTCGGCACAGGGCTGTGCAAGAGGAGGTGCTGAAGACTTCTTCTAGGAAATGTCCCCTAGCTGCTTTGGGGGTGATTTCTTGTAATTAAAATATGTTTACCCTAGCAGATTTTAGGCACGTGTGTGAGTGTGCACGCTCCAAAGCATCCAAAGAGCATAGTGTGGAACTTCTATGGCATAGGGTTGGCCACCCTATAATATTTCACAGGCTGCAAAGTGCTTTAGGATCTTTCACATTGAAAAGCATCAATAGAATATGTTTTTAGGAGAGTTTTTGAACTAACATTGTATCACTGAACTGTACAATAGATGAATCATGCATTCAGAGGAATAAAAATTCAATCCACTAATAGGCAACCTGAACATCATTTAACATGTTCTCAGCATCAGAGAACAAGTCACCGCTCTCAGCTACACTCCAGGTGGGCAATAATCCCCCAGAAACACGCTGCCTGTCATGCATTATTGCCTAATTACTGCAGCCAGGAATTATATGGGTAACTGTGAGAAGGAGTAATGAATGAAAGCAGCAGAGACCACACTCCATCAGTCTCTGTGCAATCAACTTTCACATAAAATTAGAAACTTTTACATAAATTTTAATGAAGCACAACTCAAAATAACAGGTAAATTACTGGACATGTCCTTGTTGCTTTATCCTCCCCTCTCTCTCTCTCCACAAAGCCAAGAATCAAGCCATGAGGCAGAACAAGGGGAAGTAATTAACTACAGACAATTGGAGCAACAGGAGATGTTGGGTTAAGGAGTGGCATCTCTTAGCAGGACCTGGAACTACTCTCCAATTTTCCAGCTACAGGTTTCAAAACTGGCAGGCAGTGAGAGGGCAAATGCCCATCTCTAGGGACAAGATGTGTTGTCTGTTCCCCTGGAGCTCAGCAGGGGAGGGAGGACTGAGAATAAGGGCACTCAGGAGAGAGTGCAGCTCAGGCCAACGCAGCAGAGCCTGGCCCCATCACATGGGCATTGAATGAGTGTCAAGAGGTGCAGCCAGGTAAGCAGAAGGTTTGTCAAGACCTACAGAATGCAGAGGACTTTCTGGACTGGTACTGAGAAATGCCCACTGAAGCATTTTCTCTCCCAAATCATCTGTGCCTACGAGTTAACCCCACTCATGTTGTGCAAGTGCAGCCCAGCAACTATTTTGATCCAGGCAGTGTGGAAGCACAGAGAGAAATCTGCTGGGCTTCACAGAGCTGCTGTGTCCCAGAGGGTCAGTTGGTTGGACAGAGGCTCTCAGACTGTTTTTTCCCCTCTAGGGTTTTACACAATATTTAAACACAGTGTATCGCCAGAGGCTACAGGAGCCAGTGAGCTTATCACGGCACTATGAAGTTCCAGTGAGATTCTCCCTCCCCATTCCTCACGTGCTCACTGCTCCAGACCACTGAAATCCTGCCAAGGTAGAGCAGCACCAAACTGACCTGGAATGTGGAGATTGAAGGCCAGAAGGACATTGACAAATAAGTCAGGCAGCTGGTCGGTGGTGTCTGAGGGCAGCCCGTCCTCAATCACGTCCAGCAGGAACTGCACAAACTGAGAGTTGAGATGTTCTGCGCAAGGAGAAAGAGGGGCAGTTACAGCACAGTGAAAACACACCGAGCAACAAGGGACTATGGAGCCACCTCTCCAGGCTTTCAGGCTTAAAAACCATTAGTGGAGTGCCAGTGTCAACATCCAGGGAATGAACAACTCTGCAAGTGGACTAGACAGACCACTGAAGCATCTTTGTGCGAGAGACAAGTGGCTCAGAGAACTGTCCACAGTGCAGGGGAATGCTGAAAGTTGGTCCCCAACTGGCAATTTTTTTGAGTAAATAAAACACCAATACAAAACTCCTGCTCTCACTGTTGCCCCAGCACCACTGCTGCCTGTGAAGGTTTGAGGTAGGAAGAGATTTGTATTCTTGACCACTGGTTTAATCCATCTATTTAAAAAAAATAATCATCCAGATCATTAGTAATAACCCATTTTTCAATTTAGCTATTAGGAAAGCTCAGGAGCTCATGCAAATAAGTCCACCTGCAGGACATAATTGCCAGGGTTACACGAGGAGAGAAAAGCAAGAGGTGTGGAGGCTCATTCCACAGTCTCTACTGCACTGGCTTACATCTTGTATGTGTTTACGAGGGTGTTACAGTGAAGCTGCTGAGGAGATGCTTGTAACAATCTCTACTGCATTTCTAGGAAATCTGAGCCCAGAGTTTCCCAAACACAGGGAACACAGCAGGGCCCAGGGAAGAAGCAGGCAGGCAGTGCTTTCTGGCTGAAGGTTGGAATGAAAGGACAAAGGATAAAACAGGCATGTCTGGCATGTTTGCACTTTGCTATTGCCTGCAAAACCCTTAATCATCTCCACCTTCCCCAAGAGCTTGAAATACACAGGGCTGCACTGTCCCATTGAAGGGAGACCAGGAAGAGGCCACCTGATGCAGCTGACAGCTTTAGTGGGCTTTCATGGAGTGATCTGGGCTCTCAGCCTCATCGGCAGACAGAATATCTCCAAGGCAAGTAAGAGGCGCATGCTTTCACACAGGGCAGAGGTAAAACAAAATGCCTCTTAGTCACAGTGATAGGCAAAGCCACCTCTTCTGCAGAGTGGCATCAGTCCTCCACTGCTCCACCTCAGGTTTGTGCTGCTCTCTCTGGAAATCTGTCGTCTCAGCCCAAAGTTTCTAGCCAGGCTCTGTTGGTAAAGAGCAGGCTCTACTCTTGCCCTGCTTGTGCTGGGCTTTCCCCCAGCTGTCCCCACCATCATCTCTGCTGTCCTACCAAGCCGTAGGGACAAGCTGCTCTTACCATAGTGATGATATGGCAGGGGCTCCCCCATGGAGAACATCATCGCCAGCACCAGTGCAGAGTAGCACATCTTTTGATGATCTGCAAGATAAAGGTCGCGCCATTAGTTCTTCTGAGGATGCAAAACACCGTTCCATAGCTGCAGCTGGGAAGTCACACATTTCATACAGACATTTAACACTCATTAGATTTCTTGTTCCTGTATTTATTGAGCTATAACGGGGTTTTTCCCCCTGTTTAAGTACACCACATGCCTTCTGCACCATGCGTTTCCAAAGCAATTTAAAAATAATCACAACGAGAATTCACAATATTTTTTTCCCCCTCTGCTTAAGAGGATCTGGGCAAACTTAATCTGAATAATTAAAAGCCTCCCCTGCACAGTCCCAGGACACATCCCATAGTTATGTAATTACTGAACTCAGAAAAATCATCCATCTGGCCACCTTGAAATACCGCCTGTTCCAACCAACACCACCCCCGGACAGTTCTGCTGCCTGTTACCATCTCTGCACTGCTCTACTTTTGCTACCTCAGCTCTGCCTGGAGGTATAAGAAGTCTCTGGGGAGGCCAGATCACTGCTCATGACTTGGGCTGTGCATCTGCCCACCTCCCAGGCCACACGTCTCCACCATTAATGCATCCCACAGCCTGCTAGTCCAACACAATTTTCGCTGGCAGCAGCTATATGTGAATATTCCACAGAACCACAGCCGGTGCCTCTCCTGAACTTTAATTAATGGATACACCTCGGTAGATATTTGTAGAAGGAAAAAAAAACAAACCAAAATGTCATGGAGTAGGATCTATGTCATAATAAATGTAGCCTCTGTCCAGTTCAGCAAGTCCAAAGACAATAGGAAAACTAGTATTATTTTTATAAAGTAGGTTACCACACATACCAGCTAAATAAAGTTCAGCTACATCTGCCAGAAAAAGCCTGGGAGCACTTGATACAAGAAAACTGAGGGTCTATTGATAAAAAAACAACCAAAACTACCTTTCATTAGAGGAGAAAGTCCCTTCAATGTATGATGCTTCATGCTCCTCCCAACAGTACTTCTTCCCTGGACAACACATGTTGGTTCCAGTTCCCCCTCCAACCCTTTCAGACATTTCACTTCTCTGCACAAATTGATCAATCTCTAAACATCTCCAGCTACTCCTGGATTTGGCCAAGGGATTTGCAACACTTGGCAGCTCTCAGATTTACTGTTGGCATGGGGGAAAACATGCTAGAGAATCATTCTAGCCTCATGCCCCTGGAAAGTCAGCTCTGTGAGCAAGCCCTCTATAAACAAAGAACATGTAGACTTCATCAGAACTCCACAAGATGCCTGAGTTTTCAAACAGCAAATACTTTGAGTAAAAATAGATCATTTGGGGCTTAACCAGAGATACTACAGCATTAAAAAGATTTAAGAGTTTGTAGGAGAGCACTCTAGACCATGTGGCAGCAAAGGAAAGCTGGAAACTGCTGTTTAATCCTGGTAAAGGAAGAGTGAGGATATTCAATGAATTAAGTATAATTCATACTTATTTCCTGATTCTTTCCTCCACAGCTTCAGGAGCTGGGTATCAGAGGCAGGACGTTGCAGTAGGGAGACATAGGGACCTGCTGTTCCCGTGTTCCTAGGGAGGCTTTCATGAACGGAACATTTTTTCTCATCATATCAGGAGCAATGAAATAACAGTCTGAGAACCAGAAGCCAGTGAGAAACGTGGTTGTAGCAAATATGGAGGAAGAGTTTAGTTTAGTCTTCAAAGACCTTTCTTCCAACCTCTAAACACAGCAGTGCAAAATCTGGGTGGTGGGAGCAGACACAACTGTCTGCAACTCAAGTAAAAAGAGCCCGACAGCCAACTTGCACATACACTGAGCCACAACGAGGGAGAAAGTCACGATTACAGAGTGGATTATCCCCGTCTGTTTTCTTTGGAATTGCTCTGGCTAATTCTGCCTTGCTGTGGCTTATTATAAGCTCTTCTAAGACTGATAGATGTGCAGGCCAGCCGCAGCAGAGGGAAGTGGCTGTCCAGAAGCAATAAGACCCAAGCATCTGGCAGAAGAACTGGCCAGCAGCCAACACGCCTGGATCAGCCCCAGGCTAAAGCGCCTTCTCATCAAAGGGGCTCAGCATCCACGCACAGAGCTTCCACCTCAGCTGCTCTTCAGTAACAAGCCAGGAGGGATCCCACAGAGCTGCTGCAGCCAGTTCGACACTCCCCAGTCGCTTAGTGCTGGCACCAGTTCCCCTGGCCCCTGCCATCCGCAGAAGGGATTAGCTATTCCAGGGTATGTCACGGATCGGCTGCTATTCCCCAGGTTCTAGTACTAAAACGAGCTCAAGTCATTCTCGGATTCAAGGTCGTGTTTTCACACAAGGCACCGCTTGCCATTTGCTGGCAGGACCTGGAGCAGTAAGCACCAGCATGGCAGGAGGGAGCTGCTGATGCACTGAAACACCTCTGAAGGACAGACACGTTGGGTCAAGGATGGTCACTTCTCTGCAGCCCCACTGCAAAGGCCAAGGGGACTGGATGCTGCAGAGGACGTTTGCGCAAGCGCCTGCCATAAGCTGAGCACAAGGAAAGGAGCACGGGATCAGGACACGGATTTGGGAGGCTCTTGTAACCAAAAGTAATCTGTCAGCAAAGGAAGAGCAGCTTGTCACCCTTCAACTGCACTGCCTGGGTATTACAGCAAGGAGGGGAAAAACCCCTCACCTTGAGACAAAGCAAAGGAGAGAAGGGACGCTGCAGAGCTGCACGTTGGCAGCTCAGAGGATGCAGCAAAGCCACTTTTCACCCACTTCCACTGAGACGCTGTTTAGGTCCCCAAAGCAGAGCTAACACTTGTTGGGAGATAGGCCTGCTTCAATCAGAAGCACTATGTAGAGATCAGCAAAAGTGTGCTGAAGTCATCCAGTTCAGCTCGATGCCTGTCACGAGCAAGAGGCTGTTAGCTGTGCTATCTGGGACAACGCAGCCCCTGGAAAAATGTCCTAGACAGCAACACTGTGACCAGGCAAGGAGTGACAAGGGGCTCCACGAAAGCTCAGGACCAGCCTGCCCTGCCTGCACAAAGACAGCTCAGGGAGCAGAGCAGGAGACTGAAGCCTGTTTGAGCACGGTGCAGAAAAGGCTCACTAGAAGACAATCTTTATGAATTAGTGATGGATGCACAATAAAGTTCATTTTTGGCTGCACAAAACCAGGAGTAGTGTTGTCACAGAAATGCTGTCATAGTCCCATAACTGAGTATTACTTGTTTCTTGGGCAGTAAAACCTCAGCCTAGAGAAGAGGTTTCTCATGTACAGCCAGATGAAACACCACCAGCAGGATAAGTTCACTGCATGGAATTGATAAGCAGCAGTAGCATAAAGGGAAAGCGTGGCCAACACAGGCATAATGATCTCAGTCCCTCATCACACCACCAGTGCTTTGCCCTCCCCGAGCTGAAACACTGTTTTTCAGGCTCTCCCCACCTTTGAAATGCCCACACTTCAAAGTGTCTAATCAAAGGTGAGTGCAAAGCCTTCTGCAACGGGCTTGATTTTCACCTCTTCACACCCCTTTCCAGACACCAGATTAGCCCCATCAGTCCTGTCCACCACACAGCTGGGTTGGCACAGTTTGTGGTGGGATGCTAGGGACAGGGGCATCTAATACGCACATCCAAGGCTGTCATCCTCTGCTAGCAAAATCTGACCACACTATCACCACCACTGAGCACCACCCTTTGAGCACATGGAGCTCAAAGGGCAGGAAGAACATCCCTGTTAATAGCAGGGAAAGGTCATCCTAACAAAGGGGAGCCACAGCGTGAAGTAGAAGGAACATCAGGGCAAAGCCTGGGTATGGAAAGCAAAGAGCTGGGGAAAGCAGGGCTGTGGCACTATCCTGCAGAGGATGAAGGCTGCAACTTTGTTAACAGCACTACCATCTCCCTTGGCACAGTGGTGGAGAGAAGGTCCTTTCCTTTAACCAACACACATCTCATTCACCAGCAACAAACACTGCAAAGATCTGGTGTAGAGTGGTGAGAAAAACTGCCTATAAGAGGCTGCAGAGATCTTGAGATCTGCAGGTGTCTCCTGTCAACATCATGAAACAAACTGGAACAGCTCAACATGTGCTTTAAGACATCTACAAGAAATGATGCAGATCACTCATGGCACATTCAAGAGCCAGAGGGCCTTGCACCATAGGGCTGAAACATCTCCTCCCGTGCATTCTTCACTTACAGCTGTAATAACCTGAATAACTTTAAAACCAGACACCCTTCTTCTCAGAGCACTGGGCACACAGAGCAGTCAGGCAGTGAGGGGACACCGGTGCTGCTGTAAATCATCTCATGGAAAGACACCTCCCTGGGGACGTGGGTATGGCAGCTCTGGCTCACCTTGTGTGTGAGTCTGCATGTCCCGGGCCAGCTCCATCGGCAGCACAGAGTTTACAAGCGTTGAGATGACTGCAGCATCCAAGTTGCACATGGCTCCAAAGCACTTCAACAGCAGCAGCCGTAACGGCACCCTGTGTTCCTGCAAAACCAATTTATTAGATCCAATGATGTCCCAGATGAGGGATTGCTCTAAGGCAGAGACATAACTGGCTTTGCTGTTGGGAAGCTACAGACCCTCCCAGGATGACAGTGAACCCCGAAGCTCTACTAGCTCTTAACAACAGCATAGGAGTCCTTCTACAATAACGTTCACAACTGGGCTGGCTACAGGCTGTTAGCACACGTGGTCAGATGGCAGGCAGCAGCCAGAGCTCAGATCTGAAATGCTCCACTTAATATGATACAAATCAACAACCTATACCCATCCCCAGCAAACAGATTTAATTTGCTGGGTAGCCAGGACTCTCTGAGCACACTGAGGTTTTGCAAACGCTGTTCTGAAGGATAACCAGCATGTGATGCTTAATGAACAGGATGGGAGCAGCTCCTCCACTGTGAAGCTGTCAGGTTTGTGCTGGGAGCAGAGGGTATAACCAGAAAGTTTTGGGACGTGCAGGGGTTCCAGCAAAGATGATGCTCAACCTGCAGCTCCCAGACAGGAGCTCTGGTGCTGGGGTAACCTTCACACTCCAGCCTCAGCCAACAACACCAGGGTTCAGAGAGTAGGAGTGCGCCAAGCCCTGGCACTGGGTATGACCAGCCAGGACAAGAGACCCAACTGCTCTCCACCTGGCCAGGCTTCCTTGAAATGCTGGTCAGAGAGAGCAGGCAGTGAAAGCCAGCAGGCTCCACTAAGCCTGCCTTCCCACTGCTCACAGATATGCTACAGCACCCCGATGCTGAGCTCTGCGTTCAGACACACAAGAGCCAGACGAAAGCTGAATGCCACAAGGCTTGATGTGCTGTAGCTGGGGACTTAGGGCAAGATAGGGACAAGTTTCCAACCTCCACAGAGTCCTGCAACAGCAAGGTCCAGGAAGGAGAGGGGCAAACAGTGCATAGGCACTGAAGGCAAAAATTCCATTTCTTCCCCTGGATGCTGATTTCCTTCCTCACTCCCAGGGTTTCTACTCACAACCTACTTTCCTAAGCAAAGCTACTCACTAATGCACAGGAGTGTATCAATTAACAGAGGAGCAGTCACAGCCTGTCAGCTTTCCCAAGGCATCCCCAGAAATCCCTCCTCTAGACATTAGCGATGCCGATTCTGTCCCTCAATGGAGCTAATAAAAGCAGCAAGCTTTACCCTTCACAAGGCCAGCTACCGCTTCCAAGTCTATAGCTTCCTCTTCTCTTCTACACAGCTTGCACATATAGCACTGACATTAGCCAGCCTGCAAAAGGGACCTGTCAGCTTTCCCAAGGCATCCCCAGAAATCCCTCCTCTAGACATTAGCGATGCCGATTCTGTCCCTCAATGGAGCTAATAAAAGCAGCAAGCTTTACCCTTCACAAGGCCAGCTACCGCTTCCAAGTCTATAGCTTCCTCTTCTCTTCTACACAGCTTGCACATATAGCACTGACATTAGCCAGCCTGCAAAAGGGATGTGCTACAACTCCATCCACATC